TTTTTTTATTTTTTTATTCACTTCCACACAATGCTGACATAGCGGGGGGGAAACGGTAGTTAAAGAATGAAAAATGAATCAAAATACAGTCTGCAGCTGGGGTATACCCCCAGGGGAATGACTGGAGTGTGGACTGGACAGGTACCGCACGTGGTTCCAGACTGGACGAACACTCGGCCTATGGGACCTGGTCCCACAAGCCGAACAGATACATAACCAAAATAGGCCGGACTATAGGCCCGAGAAGATACATAACCCAAATAGGCCTGACTATAGGGCGGAGAAATAAAAGAGTACTGGCGCACCTTGCTCTTCCCTTGTCCTTTCTTGGACTGGATCCCTTTCTCTTTCTCTTGCCCCTGTGAGGTGAGGTTTGGTTTCCTCCTTTTCTTCACCTCTTTACCTCTTTGCCTTTTGGCTGCGTGAAAGTGGGTCCTTGTGACACACGGGGATGGGGGCAGCCAGTGCTCAACACATGTCATCCACGTGGCTGGCCTTGTACGTATGAGGTGATGAACAGGCCGAGCTTTCCTTCCGCCCTTCTTTCTCTTTTTTTGCGTTGTCTTTTTTTTTTTTCCGCCTTTGGGCTCCGATTCACAGTGTGACAATGTACGCAAGAGGTTCTGAACAGGGGGAGTTGAAAGTAAGAAGATAAAAAACGGATTGGTATCTTTCTTGTTTCCTTTTGTTTTTTTTTTTGCTTTTGTGCTCTGATATCTTTGTGACGATATAGCTCTGATAACTTTGTGACCATATATGGCATCCTGGTTGGTTGTTTCCCGTTGTTCGACCTTTTGAGCGGGGCGGTGCTTGTATGTGGGAATCGGGATGGGTTATTTTTGGTACTTCTTTTGATTTCTTTGCAGACAAGAATGTTTTAACATCCTGGTTGGTCTTGTCCCGTCGTTTGGCCTGTGGGCAAGGGCGGTGCTTGCATGTGGGACTTGTCATCTGGGATCTGTTTTGTTGCGCCCTGTTTTGTTTTATTTGGCTGTTCCCTTCCTCTCTTCTTTGCCTCTTTGCCTTTTGGCTGTGTGCAAGTGGGTCGATATGACACACGGGGGTGGGGGCAGCCGCCGTTCAACCTACATCCACGTGGACGGGCTTGTACGCGAAAGAGGTTCTGAACAGGGGGAGTTGTAAGGAAGAAGATTAAAAAACGAATTATTTTTTTTTCTTGTTTTCTTCTGTTTTCTTTTCGCTTTTGCGCTCTGATAACTTTGTGACAATATATATAGGGTAACCGGCGTTCGGGACGGGCCGAACGAACGCCCGAACGTATGGGACCCCTTGGGGATGCGTTCGGCCGTTCGGGCCGAACGCGGACCCAAAAAAAAAAAAACAAAAAAAAACACAACTCAAAAAACTTAAAAAAAAAGATATGTTATGAAGAAAAATAAATTAAACAAGATTTGCCTGAGCATTACATCCAAATTCCCTACCAAATTTGAAATAAAAGTAAAATATGAAGAACAAATACTAATTAAAAAAAAAAACAATTAGAAAAACTCTGAAAAAAAGATATGTTATGAAGAAAAATAAATTAAACAAGATTTGCCTGAGCATTACATCCAAATTCCTTACCAAATTTGAAATAAAAATAAAATATGAAGAACAAATACTAATAATAAAAATAACAAAAAATAAAAAGAGAATTAAATTTAGTGATTGCGCAAGCACGTTTTCAACACCACCATCTTTGGCGAATTTCTTTTTTTTTTTGGGCATAGCTAAATGCCCTGGAAATTTGCAGGTGTGTTACTTCACATAATACAAAACTCACTAAAAAAGTTTCAAAAAATAATAAAATTGTTTAGACCCCGAACTAAAGTGAAAACAAAAAGTAAAAAGTGAAAAAAAACTTGGGCCAGAACGTTTTGACACCGCCATCTTTGGCGATTTTTAATTCTTATTTGGCTGAGCCAAATGATGTCAAAATTTATTCGCATGTACCTCACGTCATAGAGAACTCACAAAAAAAAAAAAAAAAAAAAACAATTAGTTTTAGGCCCCAAAATAATTTTTGGCGGGGGCCGAACGCCGTCGGGTTCGGACCCGTTACGGGACACCGAACGCCCGTATGTACGGAGGTCGGCCCGGGGACCTCCGTACGTACGGGCTGGTGACCCTGGAATGTACTTGAAGCACTGGGTGTTGGTATTGACGAGTATATTGCGGTATATCTTCGGCCGGCATCACGACAATCCTCCGCTGCTGCCCTGGCTCGTCAACTGGATCTTTGGCGTACCACAGTTTTGCGTCATTGTCAGTCCAATATGGTCATTGTCAGTCCAATATGGCCGCCGCAACATCTTCTCGACAGCCTCGCTCTCTTCGACAGGCTCTGCGTCACCTCCAAGACTCCTTTGCGATTGTTCCTGTGGACAAAACTTCACATAATTTGGCTATTTGTTGTAAGGACTGGTATCGTTTCCACCTCTGCTCATCTTGACAGTCCTACATATTCTCGGCCCACTGAAATAGCAGCCGACATTCTGCGGCCGACATTCTGAATAGCCACGCACTTTGGAACAATCATTGGAACTATCCTCATGCTGACACATTGCCGTATCTTTACTGCGCTCTTAAGGCCCATAAGTCTCCTCCTACACTGCGTACTATTCTTGGGATTACTGCCCGCAACAATCTTTCTTCCTCTCATATGGCCCAGCGGAATGACCTGTACCCCTCCCAACGAGTCCAGCGTTTGCATCACCGACCGCCCCACAAGTCTGTTGCTAGTACAACTCCAACATCGGCTCGCTTGAGTGCAGCGCTTCAAGGCGTTATCCGTACTCTTCGCGAAAAAGATGATCAACTCTTTCGAACCGAAGGTATTCGACGATGTTGGATTGTCCAGAGCAGTGAGGAGGTCATGCTTGACCTCAAAAAGAATAAAGCATCACTCCGAGGTCTGGCCCCTCGTACGGTCGATTTCACTACCATGTATACTAATCTTTCTCATCAACGGATTCTTGACAATGTTGCTAAGGCCGCTGATGAGGCACATGCCTATGCTCTAGCACAGGCACGGCAGCGTACACGGACACACCCATCCTGTGTTGCTCTTCGTATGGTGGTCTGTGGACCACGCGCAGGGGAATGGACGACCGACACAGGATCTGACAGTCTTTCTGTGTCTGACATTCTTCAACATCTTCGCTTTATTGTTACTAATACATATCTATATA